ATATATACTACGTACGGAGTCGAAAACCATCAATGACAAAGATCACACACGTACATACATATGTCATACAGTGACATAGATAACCAGCATGGGCCTAAAACTAAGGCGCATGACCTTAACATTAGCGTTTCGAAATGCGAGTTTTCAATCCCCCAAATGTCAGAGATGAAGACATAGTGGTGGTCGAAGGCTGGCGGTTCCGAGTTGCCGCGGCACGATAGGGAAAGGCTCGCTTGGTGGCTTCCGATCGGCACCCGGGCAGGTGGAGAAACATTGACATGGAGAAGCGCGTCCCACGCAGTAAGAGTTAGGAACGTGATTTAAAAAGATTGAACGGCTGGGGGTGATTCGCTGCACCTTAGGGCTTCAAATACTTTCAGCGCGTCCCTCTCGGGGTCAGAGTAGATATTCCAGAGACTGTGTTGAATGCTGGCTGTGTCTTATGCTGCAGACAATCCTGGCGGCAAAATCTGTAATTTTTTTTAAATCCTCTGCACCTGGCACTTGATCGCACCATCCAATACGCAAAGATAGTGAGATATGTGAGGAAAAGCGTAGGATTCGATGATGGTTTTAAGATCATCAGGTGTGAAGTAATGCCTGATGCGGTACAGCGAGATTAGAATTCCGTTGCATTTCTGCACGAGCTTGGCGACATGCTTCTCCCATAAAAGCGTTGGGTCCACGACCACACTGGGAAATTTGAGTTGCCGTGAAGGTGAGACACTCTCCATTTATCGGGAAATTACATATAGATGGGTACAAAAATATATGTATAAAACAAAGCCTGCCGTAATACAAATATAACAGTCTCGTAACCTTTTTCTAATAATCGCAACTACGTAACTACTTTTTCTAAATAATAATAATCGCAACTACGTAAAAATCAAAATCAACATGCTACATTGACGTCGCATCTGTGTTCAGACCCCATCGGGTACGGTGGAATCTCGTCGACCCGCTCTGTCCGCCGTCCGACACTTCCCCGCCCCTCCTCCTGCCTTCCGAGCTGACTGACCGCGCTGATGCACCGCCCCTGCTGCAGGCGAGAAGCCAGCCGCCATGCACACGTCCCGGGCCGGCGGCGGGCTGGCCGCGCGGGCCGCCGTCACCTGGGCATTGGCGGCGGTGGTGACGCTGCGACAGCTCAGCACGTGAGGCCCTCACCCCGCCCGGCAGCCGGCCGGACCGCCGCCCGTCCGACGGAGGCCCCGCGCTCCGCCCCGGCCAGCGGCGGCCCGACGCGGCGGCGGGGGACGGCCAGGCGGCGCCGGCGGCCCAGTTTGACGGCGCGACAGGTGTCGTAGCGTCGCCGAAGCCAACAGCGGCGGCCGGCTGGTGTCGCGCGATGACGCGGCGGTGCGGCCGGTGACTTCTGGACCGCAGGGGCTCCCCGGCTGGCGCCTGGCAGCGCGTGGCTGCACTCTCGCCGGTTGCTTGTGCTGCTGCAGCGCGCCGCGCGCGACCGGCACGTGTCGTGATTGACGGCCCGGGGTGCCGGCGCCGGACGCGGCGGCGTGTCGGCGAGCTCGGACGCGGCGGCCGGACGCTGAGGACCGCCACAGGGGGAGACATGAGCTGCGTTTCTGTGTCGTGCAAATGCGGAATGCGGATGAGCGCCGGGGAGCTCGCGCGGCCGCTGCCGGGCCACACCGACGGACGGCGAATGTGGACTGGGCGTCGTGCCTGGGGCAGCCGAACGAGCTGGGCGTCCAGCCTACGGAAAACATTTCACATGTTGGCTTCCGACACTAATTGCGAGCCGTCATTAATTATGACGTCAGCATGCAGACGTCTTAAGAGAGCAATGTATACACACACATACACACACACATTATATATATATATATATATATATATATATATATATATATATATATATATATATATATACACGTGTGTGTTGAGTAATATGAGTCTGTGACAGGCATGTTTGCAGATGAAAACTGCGTTGTGTGTCGCACACCTTTAGATGTCCAATGAAGCACGCTTCTGTTATCATTTCTTGTGAGCGCACATCAATGTTTGTCTGGTGGCTGCTTGCGACCAAAACTGGATCATTGCAGTCTGCTAAGATAGTGGTATGAAGGGATATTGAAATGTAATCTTGACCTTGTATGTACAATACAATTTGTCCATGACCAGCTATATAGTTCATGTTCTGAGCCACACTGATCAAGCCCCTTGTTTTTTCAGTACGCGCCCTAATGAATATGTCACCATGCCAGTATTGAAAGCCGTTCATACCTCTCCGAGCGTACTTGCATACATCCCCATACCTTGCTCTGCAACAGTCAGCTGTTGTAGAGCCCCATTTAAGTCACGTCATGCTGACTGGTGTGAGAGCGCCATCACAAATTTGATTGTCATGTGAACTGACTGCAGAACTGAATGAGAGTAGTCGAACCAGAACCCAAAAGTATGTTAGAGGGCTATGCTAAGTCCAAGTTTTTAGAGAAGGTTTCTAAAGCGTGACCTGCCTTGTTTTGCATCGCCGCAATGTACTTGGGGCCGTCCACGAATAACGTTACGCATGGAGAGAGGGGGCTGCAATGGAGCGTAACGAAAGCATAGGGGGGGGGGGGGGGTCTCGGACAGGGTAACGTTACTCGTGGGTATGGTTGCAAATCCTGCTGAAATATGCGTTTAATGCTTCACGATGCAGCAATTAGGGCGGGGAATTCTCACACCCAGCGTGGCCAGTGTGTGACCAGGAGAGGGAAACCGCTAAAAATAAAAATGTTATTCACGGACTTATCGTGCTGTCTATATGTGTTAGTTATTGCATCGCTTTGTGTACTACCGCACTGCTCACGTTCAGATTCTTAAACTTGCGTTGATCTAACTAGTTGCTATAATACAAAAGCCATGTGGGTTCCAATTCTGCGATCATTGTTTGATTTCAAATCGGTATGGATTAACGGGATGTGTATTGCTTACCTGGCTTGAACTACGCTCGACAACTTCCTGCGAGGAACTATGCACTCGAATTGGTCCTACCACAGTTCCAGGGCCTGGAGGTCCACCGTGCACAGTCTCTGCAAAGTCGTGCCACACTCTCAACGTTCGTCCTGATCCGTCTACTTATAACGCGGACTAACACGGGGTCGATGCAAGCCCCGCTTCCAAACTGAAAAGATAGAGCTTAGCTGAAAACCCCAGAAAATCTCCATGAGATCTCGAGATTGGTAGTGCGTTGTATGTTGCCAGGTCAATAACTGCCCCCGTTATGCCAGTTTAAAAATTAATTTTTTATGAAATCTGATATGACAATAAATGAAAAATACAAAAGCGTTGGGTGTTTCCGTTACATGAAGTGTTCAATATTTGTACGAGGTTCTGAACTGAACTAGCCATCCTGAAGACCTTTAGGTGCAGTTCATAATCCTGCTCTTTTTTAGACTAAAATCCCTTTAGTTCTTGAGCTATAGGACCGCAAAAATGGAGGGTATCTCTGAGAGAGAGAGAGAGAGAGAGAGAGAGAGAGAGAGAGAGAGAGAGAGAGAGAGAGAGAGAGAGAGAGAGAGAGAGAGAGAGAGAGAGAGAGAGAGAGAGAGAGAGAGCCTTAAAGTCACCTTGGCATTCATGACGTCATAATAACGTCATATAAATCTGTCACTCCATGAACCATGCGGCAGCCAAGGTCGTGAAAAATTTGTTTGGCGATTCGTTCATATCTGCCGTTCATGAGCACCATTTCAGGATATAACGGACCTCAGTTAGCTCTTAATCAATGTTGTGCGAGATGCGATGACGTGATAAAACAACGGCGTATTGAGGAGCATATTATAAACAGAAATTGCGTTGTCTACAGCGATCTTTCCATGTCAAAATAAACTAATAGTTATAAGTGGCCTTTGTCATGATGTCTTATGCCTAGCTCAATATATTCATATGTGGAGCATTCCCTTTAAGAGCTCGTCACTCCGGTTCGAAAGATAATAGCGTGAGAGGGAGTGTGCAACGTTTAGAGCAGATTTCAAAAGCATACTCTGGAGAAGCCTCATAGCCATTTAGTGTAATAATAACATTTGGTATTGACACTGCAGCACCGTCAGTGTATACCTAGGACATCAATTTCAATTATTTTCGAGTCCGGAGTGCACTCTCAATATACTGTCTAAGCACAGCGCGTCTTTCTTGGTTGCCTTGGTAACCTTCAACACGTCTTTCTTAGAGCGTAGCCTTATTCGTCGTCATAACAAGTGCTGTCGTCGTGACGACGGCAGAATTTGCTAAGGGCCGTCGTCAGCTCTTACCGACTAGAAACACCACTTTTGAATTATCTGAATCCGCACGCTCCACGCACGCACGCACGCTCGTGTCGGGCCTGCGAGCGTAAAAGTGGCACCTCTACTGCCATGCATGACGTCAGTGCAAATGACCATTTATGAATGATGCAGAGGGTGGCGGGGGCCATTTGTCGAGAGATGAATCGGTTGAAGTTTGAACCAGTCCATCACGATAGGCTACTATGTGATACTTCGTTTCCTAAAGCCAAAGTGCGCTTCGAAAGGAGCAATTGTGCCAAACGCCAGAAGGGAAAACCAAAGTCATGATTTCACATTTAGTTTAGTTCGTGTGACAATAGTTTCATGTTTGTTTATCTTTCTCCTTGAGTTTACAGGCTTTCGTAGCGTCTGTTACGAAGTATTTTGATGTAATTGTGTATTCCAAGCATTACAGAACAAACACGCTGTAAAAGCAAGGCAAATGAAAAACATCATTTTTATAGTAGTGAGCTGGGAGTCGAATGAGATTTCTCCCGCCTGAGCAGCTACTTAAGATAAAAATTCCGAGCTTTGCGGAAAGATTTCGTGAAAGTGGTAGCACCGATCAAACCTGAATCATCTGATGCAGCAGCATGTGAAAGGTACAGCAAGGCGTCATGTTCATTTCAATGGTGCGAAGAGTTCTTTTGCTGGCTTGGCCTTGTCTTTTTATTAAAGATTTAATTCAACCTTTGGAATGAATGTATTCCTTGGTTTAGAACGCACGCTAAGTAGTGTTTGTTGTGTGAGCCCTGAGCTCTAAGATTCGATCGTGCAATTCCAGGTCATCGGTAGAATTTGGTGGCGAAAGCTTAGCGTGCCGCAATGCTCGACACGGTTCGTCACATACTCTGAATTGAGCCGACCTTTAGCGCGGCCGCTGCCACCGGCCCCTAGCCACATCTGTCAAGGACAAATAGCGAGCCCCTAAAGCGTCTCGGATCCACCCCGCCACGGGTGGGCGGGCCGGGTGGCAGGCGCTCTAACCAACTGCCCCACCGGGACGAACGTCCAGCCAATTTAGCACACCAGTGAATACGTCGGCGAGAGCCGCACCACGTGGGATGAAAAAAAAAATGATGAAAAAAATGGACTTTGAACTAGGTGAAATTCGCATAATGTATGCCACTTACTGAGGTTCACAAAGCCATGACACGTTGTGGTGGCTGTTAGACCGCTGCTGGCGAGCGTTCTGCAAGATTAGCCGGACTACCGTCTCCCCACCTCATGACGTGGGCGCTACACTCATCGTCGCGGCTTCGATGTTTCCGTTCCACAGTGACCGTCCAGAGCCCACTATGCATGGTTTTCAGTTTTCAGAATCATTCGAGAGCTTGACGGCCAAATCCGGAGGGAAAATAACATTCACTTTGCATGCAAATGAAACGCTAATATCGGACACAGCCTATTCCACTTCCGACCTGATTAACGCCAGAATTAGCGCCTTATTTCTCATCTAGCGGGGGTTGGAAGAGAAGGAATGATCAGTTATATTCATAAGTCGCGGCAGCATCGCGTGCGCTGAAAAAAAAAAACACGTATACATTTCATTCATGTGGCAGCACCACAGCACTACAAGAATCGTTGTTTGTTGAATATTTAAGGCGTTTAATCATTCTCAGTTCTGGGTTTGTCCCTTGAATATCAAACACAACAGGTGATAATATGTCAAAAAAGAAAGTCTGTTGAATGTAACACGAATAGCAGCTTGCAGATTGTTTAATTATTTTGTGCTCTGATTGTCACACGGGGAGCGCTGTAGGACGAATCGCGCGGTCCAACTCCGATTCTGCACCCTGATAGCTTTGGCAGAGCATAGATCAAGATTAGTACCAAGGGCTGTATTTGGAGAGATACACACCTGATACAGTATCAGACTTGTCATTCAACGGCTTCAGATTTATAGCCTCGGTCATGTTGGGTCAATATATTGCTAGAATGTAGTTCAATACCCATTTTCCATTCAAGATGGTCTTCGGTCCAAAAAACACGCCACTAGGTTCACAGCAATGTAGAGGCTCAGTTTTGACTGTTGTTTTCTTTTCATGATAGACATTAGCGACCTTTTATCGTGATAAACGGTCAGGTCAACTTGGTAAGGAATTTCCATCAGGAAAACTTGTTGCATTGGAAAGCTCAATATTTACTTTTGATCCATGGTCAATAAAAGAAACATAAAAACTCCTTTTTACTACTCGCTTTCCTTCTAGATAGTTGTTATAGCCCAGCGCTTCAAGGCTGGAATGATTCGTGTCACGGTCTGAGATTTCTACAGAATGGAAGCTTCAGGGTTGGAGTAACGGCAAATGCAGGAGAAAATGCTGTGCGCGTCGCTCTGAAGCCGATCTGACGCCGATCAGCTGTCGCCGGCCATGAACATCCGCCCCGGTAAACTAGTCTGGAGTAGAATTACGCGGTTGCATTGAACAGCCGCGCACAGAGACTCTCCAGCAATCCAAGGAAAGCCAGTAATCCCGGTCATGGGAAACGTAGCCTTGGCATTCGACATAATAATACTATTGAAGTGGATGATTTAAGGCAAAGCAAGTTTAATGCAAAGCAAGATTTAATGCAAATTAGTTCAGCCCAACTGCGTGAAGCTCCCGTTTGCCGCCACATCGATTCTTGCGAACTTTAAACACCACCCATTCGCCCTTAGTAATTCCTTTCCAACAGCCAGCCAGCGACCCGTGTCAGTGACCTGTCCGGGACACCGCGCCGTTCAGCGGGTCCTCCCCGCCGGGCTCGTTATCGTCAGGTCGACCCGATCATTTGCTCTTTCGCCGGGTCGCCACTCCCCACCGGCCGTCACAGCCGCCAACTATTCCAATTACAGCGGACCGTGAGCGGCCGGAGGCGCTGAACTACCCGGGAGCTCGTGAAGACGCCTCCCCCCCCCCCGCACTTGTCCTCATCTCTCCAGCGGCGCCACGCACGGGAGGCTGAACCAGCCGCGCACCCGCCGCACAGGCGATCCCGCAGCCACACCTGCCGCACAGGCGATCCCGCAGACGCACCCGCCGCACAGGAGATTCCGTTGATGTGCGTTGAATGCCGTCATTTGCGACGGCATTTTCACTGCCCGAGGTATCACGGTAATTAGCTCGTTCTCGACAACAAGTGAGCTGCGTTCTTTGAACTAGCTATTTTCGAGAGAAGTTCATTGCTTGAAGTCTACCAAATGAACAAGAACACCAAGATCTTCCTGTAATTGCTTATTAAGGAACTT